CATTTGTACTATAGACCTACTTGTGGGCTAAATACCGAGAACCAATAGTTTAAATTGAGCAAACAAATGGCTAGAGGGAGGTTAAAAATAGCATGGGTCAAAGCTGTAACCAATGATATAATTACCATGACCTAAAGGTGAGTTGACCCTAGTTATTGGAATCAATAATTCTCCAGAGCAGTGTAACCAGAATTATCTGATATGATAATCTTATGTTTTGTGTTTATTTTTCTACAGTACTAGAAGTCTGAAGGGCCCGTGGTTGTTATTTGTGTCTGAGAGTGGATATGGAAAGCGTGTTCCCTTAAGCAGATTTCACTCCTCCCGGTTGAATAGGGTTGGTCTGATAGGGTACAAGGTATGCATATGATTATATAAAATTCTTTGTTGAAAGCTTTGTGATCTGTTCTTCGTCTTCAGCTTTTGGGCTCATTCCTTTTTCCCTGCTCTGTAATAGTTTGCCTTAGAGGATCGCTTGGCAGCAGTTTTTGTGGTCGGGTTCTCTGTGGCAGGTGATGTTTGTAAATTAATTTTTAGTCTATACTCTGATGGCTACGAGTGTTCTCTGGAGCGGTTTTTAACTTGAATGTAAATTAACAGAAGATGGAGAAAGCGATGAACAAGTGGTTTTAGTAAGCCAAAGTGGCACAGTCAACAGAATTAAGGTGCGGGATATTTCAATACAGTCCCGCTATGCAAGGTAAACTTCAACTTTGGTATTTTCTTTCCTTGTATTCTGAAATTTCAATTTAAATACCAGTACGATGGAACAATAGGATTTGCATGTGTTAAAAAGTCAAATGCTTATTCTCTCTTATTGTGGCCGTGGTTGTAATCGTGCTAGTATTACATATATATTTTATATCGATATACATGTTTTTAGGGGAGTTATTTTGATGCGGCTTGATCATGCTGGAAAGATTCAGTCTGCTTCGTTAATCTCAGCAACGGACGAGGAGCCTGAGGAGGTAGAAGTTGAAGCTGCCGTACATGGCTAACCGTTAATCTTAACAAGTGAATAGCTCTTAGCAATAGGAGGATCAACTTGTAGCAGCAACCCTTGTTTTTGTTTTGGCCGGTTTTGTGGCGCTAATCAATCGTTCTTTTCTGGCCGGTTTTGTGGCGCTAATCAATCGTTTTGTGTTGGCCAGTGTTGTGGTGCTAATATGTATGTACAGGTAAGCTAAACCACAAATTTGGTGACCGGATTCTACTGAGAAGGGTGACCGATTAGTCGCGCTAAACCCTGAAGTTTCTCCACGCTGGTAATGTATATCGGTCAGTTGGTAAGGGCGTCCTTGCTTAACCCACCCTTTTTACTATTTTCAGATATCAAATTTTACCCGAGTGGTAAATGACAATATTACCCTAGGGTAAAATGGTTAGCAAGTACATGAGATGAGATTAAGGAAACCAAACCAACCTTGAGAAATACGTCATATGACACTAAAGTTGGAGAATGACTTACTTGGAACGGATTCATTGTCATTTTGGTGTTTTTGTCTAACAATGTTTTAATATATGTGAGCTTTTCTCTACATGGTAATGTTTATTGAAGAATGCCGTGTGGTAGGAAACTCGTACCATCTAAGTTATAAACTAGAGCCTGCAAAGTCGACATACTCATCGCTCACCCTTTCTTGTAAACTCTAGGCGCAATTTTTTTTTGTTTTGGCACACCGGTTGGTACAATTAAATGGTTATTTGATACTCCATGGTTTTAAGGGTTTTCAAGTTTAACCACAAAATTTTCATATTTATATAGAAATGATAAACACGCATTTTTTAGCTCTACTCCTCTTTAATCTTGTCTGTTTCTATTTGATTAATTGTCAAAAATAAAAAGAGGTGTTGAAGAAACTAAAAAGAGTGAAAATCAATTCTCTTTTTATATTGCGACACCAAGATTGAATACACAAAATACAAACTTTGTCAGATTTGGAGATCGGAAACTAAAATCTGCAGCCAGCCTGCTGAAATATGATCCATGATCGGATTGAATTTTGAGCGAATCTAACAAGACCCAACAGTTGCCCTATCTTGATGAAAATTTTGCCTCAAAAAATGTGCATGTTGTTGTTGGCATAATTTACTGAACAATTATAAAGGTCAGAGAGAGGGTGCAGCACGAGAAGAGAGATTGTGTCTTTTTGTTCGAATTAGTCATGGGGTTCCAATTAGCAGCTGCAAGTAATGGCATTGCGCCCAATTTGCCAAAACAAAATACCTTTTGCCCTCACAATTATCATGTGTTGTACGCATGATGGATGGAAAATTGGATTAAAAAATTTCACAATCTAATGTCATGGGAAAAATTGGCTATTTATAAAAGTTTAGGAGATTAATCGGTTAAAAATAAAGTTCATAGAGAAAATTGACAGCTCTAAACAAGTTTAGCAGACAAATCGACAAATAGGTCTATAATAGCTAAGCAATGAACCAAGTAAAGGAGAAATTAGATTGTTTATAAGTTGAACACAAAATAGCAATGGTACGACCAACTTCCACTGTTTCCCGATAGAAAAGTGGTGTTTTGCATACATGCAATTGCAAAGAACGTTGGTCTTTTGTGCTATGATAGCTCTATTCTTGGAACATAAGTAACTGCTACGTTTCTTCCCATTACCTGCAACATTTGGAAGAACAGAAGAAAGCATAGATTCAGAACATTCATGTACGGCACTCGGAAAATTAAACAGTTTGTAGCTTAATCTTCGTATGTGCTGCACACGAGGAACTATATACATTTCAGCGAGCGAAGACATCCATACTGTTATTAAAACAATCAAGAAAGCGTCAATCTATCCTGATTCATCATTACTTCACAAAGTTTTCAAATAATAGATTAACCTCCACTATTCCTAGATCATATTTTATATGCACCAAGTGTATGTCTGGTTAATTTTCAGAGTTTCAGACTATAGTTGTCGGTACCGAGAAAAGTATACCTACGTGATGAAACATGTGAGTTTACTACTCGGTTTCAAGGGCAGCAATTTCGTATCTGACTTCTTCCAAATGCTCATTTATAGCGGTTACAGCATCCTGCACCCCTCTAATGGCCTCCTTGAGATCATTATCATACTGGGCATTCGCTTCTGCCTCTTCAGTTCCAGCAGCTTCTGTTATCTCGTGGAGATGCACGCACTCATGCTCCATTGGTCTGTTAAATCTGCAATTTTCATGACTCACCAGACGCTCTGAGGGTCTTCCAGCCCTCTTCAACACCTGAATTGTCACCGTCTTTAAAACAAACAAACAACCAGTATACTTCATGTCAGAAAACAATGGAGCCACATTGCTCACAGTAGCAGAAGTGCACCAAAGATTGTTCCTTTTTCTTCATTTCTATCCATACAAGAAATATTAGAGGAGGGGAATTTGCACACAAGACCTTGAGTAATCGTTCTTAACCGCTTGAGCTACGAGCCCTTTACGTGGATCATGGGGTTCTTTATCTAGTTGTTCTATAAGGCTATAAGGCTATAAGCATCTAATTAACTTGCTACCAACAAAGCAAAGCCTTGCCAAATTATTTGAGCGGCAATTACACATGATAATATGAATTAAACAGAAAATTAAATTAAATTAAAAAAAATTGGAAGGATATGATGGATTAAATTACCAAATTCAATTTCTGCTTCTCGTGGGTCTGAACAGCTCTGAGGAGATGGGCTAAATCAATCCGGGAGAAATCGGGATCGTTGAGGAACAGCGATTCGATCCGAAGAACTTGCTTCGAGCACTCGTTGAATTCGAGCGTCACCTCACTGCAAACTTGCTGGTACGCCAACTCCGCATCTACTCCCGACGACGGCGGCGACGACTCCATATACTCCCCAAACCCTCGTTTGAGCTTGGCGTAGGCCTCCGCCCTCCGCTGCTGAATTCCGAGGAACTCGCGGAGCAAAGCGACGGTTTTTGTTTTAGATGCCACACTTTCTTCTTCCATTGGGTCTGTGATTGATACCTTCTTGTCAAATTCTTCCATGCTCGGATCGGATAGTTCTTCCTCCTCCCTTTTGTCTTCCACCGCCACCAGGCCCGATGGAATACTCACTTTTATTCACTAAACCCTAAAACTCAATACATCTGAACCCCATTTTGCAACGCGGAATGCACTCAAATGAGAAACGCTAAGAAGAAAGACTCTTGAGATGCCACGCCACTTTATACAGTCCGCTGGTATTACTATTGGGTGGAATAAAATCCCGAAATTTCCAAACCGAACCGTTCGGTACCCGATCCCAAAAAATTTATGCTTTCTTTCGATAATCCCGTCCCGAACCGAAAATTAGATTATAATAATTCATAATCAAATTATATTATTAAATATACAATTATAATTATTATAGGCGATTGGATTTGGTTGAGATTTAATCTCAATCATTCATTTATAATTAAAACTCTCTTGAGTCACTTGTCTTCATTATGATTCTCTCTCCACTTTTCTTCGCTCTTCTCCGCCCAAACCCAAATCTCTCTCGACTAGCCTCCTCCTCAGTCCTCCGAGGAGTACCACTCCATCCAAATCCTTGCCTGACTCGCAAATCTACCACCCACACCAGTCATACACTTTGATTCTCTCTCTCTCTCTCTCAAGTCTAAATTGGACCAAGTCTTTCGGTCTCGGTTTCACCGTCGCAGATCCTCGCCTGGAATTCTTACTACGAGACGCCACGTTCATGGAGAGGCGTCGTTAGGGCGCCGCCGCTGACAATTTCTAGGACTCGAATTATTTTCTTCTGTGGTTGATTTTTAGGTTTGTGAAAATTTGGGATTTCTGAAATTTTGATTGTTTCTGGAATTGTATTTCTGCAATTGTCATTTGCAACATCTTAAAGATTTCCCCCCCGTGCCGAAGTCTTTTCCCCCAAATTCAAAGAACTGATTCTTGCCAGTGTTGCTAAAGATACCTATGTCAAAGGTGTGTAAAAGTCTTTTTGTTTTCCTTATTTACAACTCGCATACAACCATTGCATGAGGTCGTAAGCAATCAGTGGCAGGGAAGAAAAATTTGGTAACGCTAATGCCATAATGTACACAATATTTGATGATGCTGAAGACATTTATCTAATAGCAAGGGTCTTTCATATCCCAAGCGGTTAACATGGCTTAGTTATGAACTCCAAGTCTTGTGTTTGAAGGCAGAGAACATCTTGAAGACAAGGTGATAATGTAGAGATGTCTGTATCTTGTAAAATTAAAAACTCATGGAGGGCTTTTTGACTACTGTCGCTTCTTTTTCTGAGAGATGGAGGGCCGAACGATTTGAGTTAGCGTGAGAAGGAAGATGGCAGCAGTGACTAGCCCCCTCCATCCTCCCAGATGGCACTTATTGCCTCTGGCACTCGCTGCTGCAATTTTCTGATCAAGATCGTTCCGTTGCTCTTCTTCTTTGTCTGAAAAACATACAAATAACAGAAAATTTTGAGAAAACTTGAATGAAATGAATACGGGCAGACCCCTAAGTGCTTTAACGGAGCATAATTTACCTGAGTCCATGATGAGGGTATTCAACCATTTCGGCCTACAAAAATCAGTATTTTTCATTTCTTCTGCACTGAACCAGTGCAAGAAATATTCTCCTGATATAGGCTCTGGCGGTGACGACAAATCTCCACCGATGACAAATGGATCATTAGGATCTGGAGTGGTGTTGTGTTGGGTACTCATCTTGTCTTGGTGCTCTTGCACAAGCTCAACCCCGAACTCCTTTACCCAAAATCTCTCATAAGGTCTCCTCGTCATTACGGAAACAACCACTTCATCTCCACATTCTAATATTATTGTTTCATTGTCCAATGTCCAATGGCTCAACCATGTCACATCATCTCCTCTTCCTCTTGGACAACCGTAGAGTCTTGGTCCATAGACCCACGTCATACCCTTGCTCTTGTTGCTCACTTCAATCCTTATAAATGGATTACCCGAATAAAACCAATTCTTCTCGTTTGCATAGGTAGCAAAGATGTTCAAGCCTCGAATTTTGTGACTTGCAAGAAAAGGCACAATAAAAGAAATTGAGGACTTGGTACTTCTATAGCTGAACCGGCCAGGAACCTCATTCCCAGTAAAATTTGTGCTGTATATACCTTGTTGATGCAGTCCCTGTGTACATGGCACGGAAATGAGTATATTAGGCAACTCTTTCCGATAAGAGAGAGAGAGAGAGAGAGAGAGAGAGAGAGAGAGAGAGAGAGAGAGAGGCACCTGAACTGGACTCCAAATCCAATCAACATGTTTAAAATTTTGCAAGCCGAAACGTTTCCTCATTTCCAAGTTGTGCAAGCTGAAAAGTTTCATCATTTCCACATCAACTCTGCCAATAGGTTCTAACTTGTGATAGTACTCCCACTCAATTACATTGCGGTTCTCACCCAGATAGGTCAATGCTCTCAACTCATTGGCTTGATATGTTATAGTTTTTAATGATATGCAACGATTTGCGACAATGATTTCAATTTTCGGCAACCCCACAACTGATTCGAGCCTCTTACATTCCAATAAATCGAGAAGATGGAGCCTCTCACATCCCGAAAAAGAGAGAGATTCGAGCCTCTTACATCTCGATAAATGGAGAAAATGGAGCCTCTCACATCCCGATAAAGAGAGAGATTCCAGCCTCTTACATCCCGATAAAGAGAGAGAATAGAGCCTCCTCAAACCTTTGATGAAAATAGGTAGGCTAGAAATTGGGTTATCATCTAAACGTAGATATTGCAACGAGGATAGATTACTTAAATCCGTAGCAAAGGCATCATCAGAAAGGTTGCACCTACTAAGGTTTAACTTTACTAAAGAACATGGCAAATAAGTCAAGATACTCGAACTTTTACCAGGCCGTAATTCGCTTAAAATACCATCTGTTTCGAGAACTTTCACGGATTCCATCTTCTTCATCATCTCATTAAGATTTGAGCAACCAGATAAATTGAGTGTTTCAAGTGATTTTAGCATGCACATGTTAGGAAGCATCCTAAGATTCTTGCAATCCTCCATATTCAAGTACACAAGTCTCTCTAGGTTTCCAATGGATTCATGAACATCAAGCAGGCTTTCGCAATCTACAAGAATCAATTCCTCTAGATTGGGGCAGTATGAGAAATCCATGGTTTGACTAAGGCCATGAGAATGGCTCACATCAAGGATCTTCAATGAAGGAAGAAACTGCAGGAAAAAAAATTAAAATAAAGAAAAAAAAAAGAGAAATAATATTTGTCGGAGTTAATTCTAACATATGCAATTAGTGAACGAATCAAAACTTAAAAAAGCAAAAGAAGGAAAATGAATTGAGATGCGTAGAGTAACATACTTTTGTTCCTTTGTAGACTTGTGTCAAGCTACTATATTGCATTTCAAGAACAATTAGGCACTCCAAAGGAAAATCAATGGGTACAGAATCCAAAGGAAATTCAGGCCAACACAACCATCTTAATCCTGTAGGGAAATTTACGTAACATCCCTCTAGCCGTACACGTCTAAGATGGAGTAGTTGTAATTTGTGCATCCTTTCAAATGCATTGGTTTCAAAGACTGTCTCATTTGTGTTTATTGGACTGTTTGCAGGATGCCAATGCATGTCCAGGACAAGACCTTGGATTGTTTGTGTACCCTAAAGAAAAAAAAGGGAACAACATTAATATGGATAATTTTCACAAGAAGAGAAAAACATATATATATATATATATATATATCTATATATATCTATCTAAAAGGCATGTTTCTACGTACAGTCTTTTCCCTCAGTACTTGGAAGGAATCCTTACGACGCCATAGTCTACTACGTTTCTCAGGCTCTTCTGATTCTAGGCAAACTATTTCTCTTCCCATATCACAAATTAGATCGTGCATGTTCACCTTGTCGTCTGTATCAATTTTCACCAAGCATCTATCAATGAGATTTTGAATGCCAACAGTTGTATAGAAATCACATCCATCTAGTATTCTAACAATGTAGTTTTTGTGCCTTCCTATTAGGAAACAAGCAATGTGGAGGAATAATTTCCGATCATGCTCATCTTGTAAACTGTCATAGCTTATTCTTAGTTTATTCATGATTTCACCATTAGGAATAACTTCTAGCTTCTCCAATGCACTTTCCCACACACCCATACTTTCACCTAACAGAGAAGAACCCAAAACTCGAAGAGCTAATGGAAGTCCTCCAGTATGCCGCACTAGCTTTTTTGAATATTCCATGTAACCTTCAGGGGGATGGTCCTGGCCAAACGCATGCCAGCTTAAGAGCTCCAACGATTCATCGTAATCCAAAGTTTCAACTCCGTGGACCTTAGTAACTTGATGTGCCTTTAGCAACCTTTCACGCCTTGTTGTTATGATTATTTTACTTCCAGGATAAAACCGATCTTTCATCCGTAGTACTGCATCTAATTGGTCCATATGGTCTACATCATCAAGAACAAGAAGAACTCTTCTAGAGCTTATGGCTCTTACAATCTTACTTATTCCTTCACTGACACTGTGCACTTTCTCCTCCTTCCCCTTCAAAATATCATAAAGAAGTTGCATTTGCATTTGAACTAACCCGTTCGGTTGACTTGCCGTTTCTCTGATATTTTCAACAAAGCTGCTCCCTTCAAAACTTGTAAAATTTGAATTGTAAACATATTTAGCAATTGTTGTCTTCCCTATTCCAGACATCCCATGCACAGCAACTATACCAACATCAGTTGATCCATCTCGTAACCATAAATTGATGTGTTTGACTCGAGATTGGATTCCAATCAAGTTGGATTCAACAGCCAAGGGTGTGCGAATTAGCTTGTCACCAATCACCTTAATAATTTTTGTGATAAACTTTGACTCGTACCTACGAATTTGCAAAAAAAAGAAATATAAATCAAACATGTTGTCTACCTAAGAAAGTTACAAAGGTAACAACCGGAAGGATGCTAAACTTACACATTATTTTGACAGCACAACTTAATTAGCTAAAAATAAAAATGAAACTTTGTTGACAACATGAAACAAGGGAAAACGAAATTATGAAAGTTATTATATGCACTTTTGGTAAAAGAATTATTGTATACACAGAGGATTCGAACTAAGAGGGGATTCGAACTCGACACCTGTAGAACACATGGGTTTAGAGAGATAAGAACAAATTGTTCAGAAAAAGGAAGGCAAAGCAAATTTTTGGTTAAAAATAAATTAACCTTCCAATATTGACGCTAGAAAGATAAAAGAGGGCAAATGAAAGTTACCCATCAGCTTGATTTGATAAGACCATCCCTGCTAGATCAGCAAGCTCTGCAAGTGCCTCCCTCCATCCCCGCACCTTATTCGGCGACTGAGTTTTCTCGTGTCTTGCAAATGCTTTTCCGATGCTTCCCGTCTGCTTCCTCGCATGGGATGGATCGACATCGTAGAAGACTGGTAATACTACATGGTCCGAGGTAGTCCTCTTGCGTTCAAGGATCATGACAAGCTCATCAAGGCACCATCTGGATGACGCGTAATCTTTCGAAAACACGACAACAGACGTTCGTGATTGACGGATTGCTTTCTGTAGTCCTGGCTTGATATCTTCTCCTCTCTCAAGTTCGTCGTCATCTCGGAAGGTGAGAAATCCTGCGTTGTTCAAGGCTGTGTAGAGGTGGTCGGTAAAAGTCCTGCGAGTGTCTTCACCTCTGAAACTCAAGAAAACATCGTAACGGTAACCCCAATGAGTGTTGGAATCAGAGGATGTTCCTTGAGCTGCTCTCACAAGCGCCATAGTTTACGATCGATGAACAAACAAAATAAATGCTCTTTGCCAGGGAGATATTTAAGGCTCTATTTAGTAATTAGTTGGCTCATTCCTATCTACTTCCTGGAAAAATTGCAAATGAAAACTCGTCTCAACTTTTTGTAATTGACTCGTTTTAGTCAAAGCAAAATTAGTTGGGTCGTTTTAGTCAAAGCAATTGTTATTAATTGGGGCTTTTTAGTAAAGCAAATGAAAACGCGTCTTAAAGCATTTCTAATATAAATGTCAAAAGATAAATACCAAATGTTAATTTGATGGTTGATATGGTAATGTCGTATTTTCTTTGTTTTTTTTTTTTGTTGTTGTGTTTTTCCCGTGTGATTTTTTTTTTTTTGTTATAAATGACATTTGTATAACTCTTTTTAAAAAGAAACCCATCAAAATATTTTGTTAAGGTTTATAATTGGTGCATTAATGGATTCACACAATAAAATAATTAAAAATTATTTGACATCACTTATTCTTATATGTCAAATTTGACAATGAAAACTCATATTTCAATTTGCATAAGATTAACATATTGTTTGAAGCTTGTTCCTACCTTTAAATTTGATTATATAGCATTCGAATTAAAATTTGACAAAATAAATGCTGTGTCTTTGCCAGGGAAATAATTGAGGCCCTAATTACTTGGCTCATTCCTGTCCACTTGCTGGAAAAATTGCAAGTGAAAACTCGTCTCACCTTTTTGTAATTGACTCGTTTTAGTCAAAGCAAAATTAGTTGGGTCGTTTTAGTCAAAGCAATTGTTATTAATTGGGGCTTTTTAGTAAAGCAAATGAAAACGCGTCTTAAAGCATTTCTAATATAAATGTCAAAAGATAAATATCACATGTTAATTTGATGGTTGATATGGTAATATCGTATTTTTTCTGTTTTTTTTTTTGTTTCCAATTGGTGTGATTTTTTTGTCACATCCCGACCCGAGTCGAAACACTTCCCGGGCCCGCTCCATTATCGTAGCACGATATTATCCGCGTTGGGCTTACCATTCCCTCACAGTTTTGTTTTTGGGAACTCACGAGCAACTTCCCAGTGGGTCACCCATCATGGGATTGCTCTAGCCCCCTTCTCGCTTAACTTCGGAGTTCTTACGGAACCCGAAGCCAGTGAGCTCCCAAAAGGCCTCGTGTTAGGTAGGGATGAGAATATACATTTAAGGATCACTTTCCTGAGCGATGTGGGATGTCACATTTTTGTTATAAATGACATTTGTGTAACTCTTTTTAAAAAGAAACCCATTAAAATAAATTTTCAAGGTCTATAATTGGTGCATTAATGGATTCACACAATAAAATAATTAAAAATTATTTAACATCATTTTTTCTTATATATCAAGTTTGACACATGAAAACTCATATTTCAATCTACATAAGATTGACATATTGTTTAAAGCTTGTTCCTACCATTAATTTTGATAATATAGCATTCGAATTAAGATTTGACAAAATAAATGCTGTGTCTTTGCCAGGGAAATATTTGAGGCTCTAATTACTTGGCTCATTCCTATCCACTTCCTGGAAAAATTGCAAATGAAAACTCGTTTCATCCTTTTGTAATTGACTCGTTTTAGTCAAAGCAAAATTAGTTGGGTCGTTTTAATCAAAGCAATTGTTATTAATTGGGGCTTTTTAGTAAAGCAAATGAAAACGCGTCTTAAAGCATTACTAATAGAAATGTCAAAAGATAAATATCAAATGTTAATTTGATAGTTGATGTGGCAATATCATATTATTTTTTTCCCCAATCGATATGATTTGTTTTGTTATAAATGATATTTGTATAACTCATTTTAAAAAGAAACCAATTAAAATAAATTTTCAAAATTTATAATTGGTGCATTAATAGATTCACACAATAAAACAAAATAATTAAAAATTATTTGACGTCACTTTTTCTCATATATCAATCCACATAGGATTGACATATCGTTTAAAGCTTGCTTCTATCTTTAAATTTGATTACATGGTGTTCTACGGATTTGACATCTTCTTTGGAAACAATTTTATCTTTTTGTATAATTGAAGACAGAGACTCAATACAACTTAATTATCTTTGACCAAAAAGAAAACAAAAGACATACCCAATACAACTTAATTATTTGTGTTGTTTTTTATCCACTGCTTACTAAAAAAAAATGTAAACTAGAACTAATTTATTTATATTAAGAAAAATAAAATCAAATACAGTTGTGGAGCAAAAAATAATAAAGAAAACTTTGGAGCTAACAAGTAAACTTTTACTCATAAGAGACTAGAGCGCCCTCATCAAATGGCGCAAGGTTCACGTCTATTATACATGCAGTTCAACCATCGAGAAGACCTAAGCTGCTTATTGTGACTTCTTCAAGCTCCCATGCCCATGATAGTAAAATAAGTCAAAGATATTAAAGATACGATTAATAACAAAATCATATCTTTAAAGCTTTCTCTATTGAAGACAGCTCAATCAAGTCAAAAACAATAAATCCAATCAAGTGTTCTATAAGACAATTCCAAGATCTTATTTAATAAAAATATTTTTGAGATAATTTTTTCCTACCGCGTTTTCCCTATAAATACCCTATTGTACACCAAATTTTGATAAGCTTTTGTTGCGGAATAAAGCTGTAAACTCTCTTCTCTCTCTCTCCTTTTTTTTTCCCCAGAAAGAACTAACTTGAGGACAAGATCGACCTGGTGGGACCAATGTCGCTTACTACGGGGACAGAGGCATGATGATCATAGCGACTGACTACTTCACCAAATGTGATGAAGCTAAATCCGTGGTGACAACTACCTAGACGAACAAAACATCATTTGCTAAATACAAATCTCGCATTCCGTCATCACCACCTAAACCTCATTCACACTTATTCGAGCAGTTCGAAGTCTCAAGAAATCGCCGAACAAGTTGTAGACATCGAAATTTCGGTGAAACAAATGTTCACCAACGTATTAAAGTTTTGACGTGTCAGGGCATACATGGCATACGCCAGGTGTCGTACAAATTGTACACATGACATGTGACTCAACAAAATAGGAAGAAATACCCTTGGATGATTAAACAAGTTTTTCTTCTCAACTTGGGCAATGACAAGGTAAGCACATTTCAATCCATTACGGATCAAAGCAAGTTTTTCTCATTTGGGCAATGACAAAACAAGCACATTTCAAGTTTAAAATTGTATTAAGTGGGAAATTAGGCCATAAATAAGACCACTTCAATTTCAATATTGCATTAAGTGGAAAATTAGGCCATTTGTTAGACCACTTCAATTTCAATATTGTATTAAGTGGGAAATTAGGCCATTTGTTAGACCACTTCAATTTCAATATTGCATTAAGTGGGAAAATTAGGTAATAGTGCTTGGGTGGGAAAATTTTGTGGTGGTGATTCACTCTCAAAGCCTATAAATAGGCTTCTCCATCAAGAGGAATAGACACACCAAAACCTTGAAGCCTTAAAGTTCTAAAGCTCTCAAGAACATCCCGAAGGATCAAGAAAGCCCTCTTCATTCTTCGTCAAATCCTCCTTCAAGATCAAGCCCCGACGACCCTTGAAGAACTTCCACCAATTCAAGATCAAGCCCCGACGGCCCCTTGAAGAAAGTGTTCATCATTCATCATCCGTTCATCTTAAGATCAAGCCCCAACGGCCCTTTGGATCAACGACCTCAACAAACCGACACACCAAAACCTTGAAGCCTTAAAGTTCTAAAGCTCTCAATAAAATCCCGAAGGATCAAGAAAGCCCTCTTCATTCTTCGTCAAATCTTCCTTCAAGATCAAGCCCCGACGGCCCTTGAAGAAAGTGTTCATCATTCATCCTAAGATCAAGCCCCAACGGCCCTTTGGATCAACAACATCAACAAATCCACACATCCAACCGTTCTTCAAGATCAAGCCCAAAAGCTCTTGAAGATCCGCTCATCCATCAACCTTCAAGATCAAGCCCCGACGGCCCCTTGAAGAAAGTGTTCATCATTCATCATCCGTTCATCCTAAGATCAAGCCCCAACGGCCCTTTGGATCAACAACCTCAACAAACCCATACACCCATTCTTCAAGATCAAGCCCAACGCCCTTGAAGATCCATTCATCATCCGTTCATCCTAAGATCAAGCCACAACGGCCCTTTGGATCAACAACCTCAACAAACCCATACACCCATTCTTCAAGATCAAACCCAAAAGCCCTTGAAGATCCGCTCATCTATCAACCTTCAAGATCAAGCCCCGAAGGCCCTTGAAGAAACTTCCATCAACCTTCAAGATCAAAGCCACGAAGACCCTTGAAGAAACTTACAACTGTTCATCCAAGATCAAGCCTCGACGGCCCTTGGATCAACAAATCTACATCTTACGGAGATCGAATCAGAGGACCAAATTTGAGAGATCGTAACCCCAAAATTATTAAACAAAAAATATTATTTTGTACACGTATTCTTGTTTCTTGTTTTCAGGAATTTTTCGTGTTCACACAAGTCCTCACATGCTAAGGACTATTTCAATTGTTTTGCAGTCTTGTTTTGCTCAACTGCACTCACAACGATTTCCATGCTCTCTAGTGCGAGAGGGTAAACTAATCACCAACGAGTGTTGAAATCAGAAGAGGTTCCTTGAGCTGCTCTCACAAAAGCCATCGATTATGATCGATGAACTAACAAAAAACTGCTACCTGAGAAAAATTTAAATCTTTAACTGGGTCATTTGTTCCATCTTTTTAGACCATAGTTTATAAACTAAATGATGTGATAGATGATTGTTAGATTCCATTTTTAGTGATTAGTAAAAAGAATCAAACCATCAACTGCCACATCATGTGGTTTACAAATATGGTGTCAAAAGATGTTCGCTTTAGCATCACCAAAAAAAGTTTACGAACAAGTTTCACAAAAAAAAAAAAAAGAGGTAAAGTTGTGACTCGCCACACACGTTATTAGTTGGCTCGTTATGTAGTTCTATCAGTTTTGGGAGGGCAAGGGTAAGGCATTTAACTTCCTTTACTATTCACTTTGAATCGTACTTGCCTTTGTGCAC